TATACCAAACCCCACTGTACCTTTCTCATATAAAACTCTTAACTTGTAAGAACATTTTGGATAGAAGGTTCTCAAAAAAGTATCTCGAGATTAAAAAAAAAGTATATGAAAAGAATCAAAAATTTATTATCATTTGACTGTTTCATGAAAAATATGAAACATTTGCTATTTTCTAATTGTATCAGATTTCCTTTTGATATTATAGTTATCTATATGACTATGTATAAAATATTATATTTACTTGTTTAAAACCCTATTTAAAATATTATACCAATAAAAACCTCTAAATCGCTCCATTATCAACTAAGTAATACTTATAATTGAAATGTTATGCTTTTGTTTATTGACATATATAATGGTCGAATATAAAAAGTGATAGCTTATATGTTAATAACATAATCTGTTTCCAGCTGTTGAAATTTTGTAATGACTACATAGATGCTAAGATGCATATATAATTGTGACAAAGTAATGCTATTATTTTCTGATTTCCATCAATAAAAATATGTTGGTGTTGGAAAAATCACATCGTTTGGATTAGGGCTAAACATTTTATTCGTTAAATTTTATTTGATTCGTTATTTGTTTCAATTCGATCCAAAAATTCCGGATATCCTTAAACTTTCGAATCAAAGCAAATACTAAAAATCAATATCTGTTAAAATAGAAGCAAATCATAAATATTAAAATTTTGGGAAGCGGATATTCGATCCAATCCGGAATTATATAAATATTTGTATATCTTGGTTATATTTAAAATTTTAAATGTATAAAATTATATAATTATTATTCTACCACATGATTTTGAACGATTCTATTCACATTATTACTTATATAAAAGTATTACATAAAAAGAGAGAAAAATTTATGGCAATTATATTTTTTTCTTAAATCTTGTGTTATTATAATTGTAACTTAAACTTTAAAAATTACAAAATATGTAAATTCACTAGTTCTTTTAACTTTTATTTTATATATCATGCAAAAAAATATTTTTGCAAAGAAAAATTGTATCAAAATTTAAAATTATTTGTATTAATCAAAATAGATGAGATATCCGTAAATATCCGCAAATATCTATTTATTTTTCGGATATTCGTTTTTCCGGATACCCGTATTTTCAAAACAAATCAAATACCAAAATTAGATATCCGTAACATTCGAAGCAAATCACGAATATCTTTAAAAACTCGGATATCCGATCTGTATCCACCCCTAGTTTGGATAGTAGAACTTTTAAGAGTTAGGTAACTGGTTTAATCTTTAAAACTAGTTGTATAAATTGAAGCTATTAAGTTTACTTCAAACTCCGATATTACAGTCGGATCGACAAGAAACAAAACTCTGTTTCATCTAAAGACTTTCCAAAACCAACATCTCTACCTCAGGTTCCAGTTAACGCGCATATTATTTGTACGGATGCTGCTTGGAAGGTTGATTCTTATGCAGGTGGTCCAGGATGGGTCTGTCGAGACTCCGCAGGCTCTGTCACCTTCCAAGGAACCGAATCCCGTCGCCATGTTGCCTCTGCTCTAGTAGCGGAAGCGTTAGCGATGAAGGCTGGTCTGTCGCAGGCCATCTCTACTGGTTTAAAAGACGTGATCTGTTGTTCAGATTCTCAGGTTCTTATAAATGTAATCACAGGTAACAAGAATGTGATCGCCCTTCAAGGAGTGCTCCATGACTTAGGCGTGTTGAGCAACTCCTTCTCTTCTATCTCCTTTAAGTTTATCCCTCGCACTTGTAATGGTCCTGCTGACCTGTTGGCGAAGAATGCTTTGCTCTCGATTTCAAACAATCTCCCTGAGATTGCGAACTCTGTAGGATAATATTTTAAGTTAATGGAATGGTTTGATCAAAAAAAACAGTCGGATCGACATAATCGTATTAGTTAGATATAATGTTTACGTTTTGGGTATATAAACATGTAAGCGTATAACTGGGTATACAAGTGTACAAGATTGAATAAAGAAAAGGAACGAGGAAACCAGAAGAAGAAAGAAATCTCGTGAGAAAGAAGCCAATAGAGATGCCTTGCAAACTACGAGGTCACTTGTTACACTCTTGTGGTGGTTAATTATTTCCCTATCATACCCAAACGGCAAAACCTATCATAATTGTTAACTTTTTTTTGCGGCATAATTTTGTTAAAACTATTTACAAATATAAATTGAATTAAATGTATATAAGAATTACGAATAAGCAACTATACTTATTATATATGTGTGATTATTAGTAACCAACTTTTCTGCTCCAGTTGATTAATTTCATTTTTGTGATGTGAGAATTCTAAACAAGTATTTCTGTATCTGTAGGCAGAGTTTCAATATAATAGGAATATCCATTTTTATAGAAAGTTTGATTTTCAAGCTCTAATCCACAAATCGTATAAATTTTATTTTTAACCATCGTATCATTGCGACTTGTTTCAAAATTTATTGATTCATTAATATTAAAAACATATTATAAGATATTGTCTTAGTATGCAAAACTTATACCAAGTAATCTTAAGTGGATTTATCTGTGCAAGAGACTTGTATGAAAGTTGTTTCTAAGATATTGTCTTAGTATGTAAACTTATACCAAGTAATCTTAAGTGGATTTATCTGTGCAAGAGACTTGTATGAAAGTTGCTAATATAATGAACTTATTTAACTTAGTCAATAAAAAGTTAACCTGTTATCTGATTCTGTTTTGGTTTATAAGCTTCTTACAAGTAAAACCTCATAGTGAATTTATGTGCATGTGACTTGTACGAGATACTCTTTATTTTCATTTAGTTGCTAATACATTGAACTTAATTCATATAATATACAATAAAAGTGTTTTTATTCAGCTGACCCCACTACTTTTTAAAAAAATTTATGTTTTATTTATTTAAAAATCTGATGACCCATCAAAAATAAAGATTTGACCCCATTAAAAATTTAACCCACAAAGAAAACATTTTAAAATTTTAAAATTATATATTATAACTAATCTTTTATATTCTCAATATGTTAATATTTAGATTTGTATTTATTTTAACCTCAATTTTATAATTACTAGACAACTATAAATCAATAGTAAGTTTTTATCTTAAATTCTAGTTTTATTAATTTTATGTCCAAACTGTATAGGCCCAAGTTCTATAGTAGTTATATAAGAGAAATATTAAAAACTTACTAACAAACTTGGAAAAAAATCTTTCTATTTCTCGATCAATGCGAGAGCTAGCTTGTGCTCTAGATACAATTTTTAGATTAATTTCAGGTTGGTTTCTTTATTCCTATGTTTTTAAACTTTTTATTTTTATGTTTTACTTTGATCATTTGTTATTACTTTTATTAAACTAAAAATGATCACGATCCTTGATTCAAATTCCAAAAAATAAAATAAAATAAAATCAGTATGGTTTATGTATATTATATGAATAGTTAACAATTAGTTTCAAATTTAGAAATTGACTATTTGTAATTTGTCAAATAACTAATAGATCAATTTCTGAATATGAAAAAAAATTATTGTGATCAAATGTACAAAAAGATGAAATTTTTGCTGACTTGAAATTTTATAAACCAAAAAATAATATAATCCAGAGAGTATTTTTCAACGTTTGGTTTATAAAATTTTGAAGTTGTTTTTGAATTTGTATGTTGATATGACAACCATTAAAAATGTTTTTCAAAGATAAAAATATTAAAATTTCTAAGTATTTTAATGAAAACTTTCTAAAATTTTTAATTAAACCGTGAAAAATAAATAAATTATAAGTCATCGTTAAATAAATTTATAGTTTGCGATTATTTTATAAATTATGGTTAAAAATTTTTTTTGACCCCACTATAAAAATTTTCTGGCTCCGCCACTGACGCAGCTAAAAAGCTTATAACTACGAGAAAGTATGTGCTTGTAAAATGTATGTAACACATAATTTGATTCCCCGCATTTGGCAGTTAGTGTAATTTTTCTCTACTTGCTATAATCAACTTCAAATTCACTTAACCAGAAGTGAACAAAAGCGTTTATGCCAAAATGTATTACATATTTACATGTTTGCTCGCTACATTAAAATGTATTACATATTTACATGTTTGCTCGCTACATTAGAACATTACACAATAGATTGTCTAAGAGCGTAGACGTCACTCCCAAAAATTCGCGAGTGGGAATTCTGGAATGTAAGCGTCAAAGTACAAAGAAAAATCGAACAATATCGAAGTAAGCAGATATACATAATTATATTTTTATTAAAATGTTTTTCTGATCAAACGAGAAAGCAAACATAAACATGACTCGTGAAGCAGCAGGTGAAGAAGAAGTGCTATTTTGTACATTTAATATATAGTTATTTCGGAAATTTACTATTCATCTTGTGAACCTACAAAAAATGTCGCAGAGAAAGTTAATTAACCTAAATACATCTTGAAAGAAATGTATAGACATATATTATCGATTAAAGATGATTTAGAAGCATAGACATATATATATAGTCTATCTCTGGTTATCCATAATTTTAAAAGTTTCGTTAATTCACGGTCGTGTGAATTTTTAAACTTACGAAAATTACCTTTGCTTTCCCATTCTGTACAAATAGTAAATGTTTTTCTTTCCATTTGTTAAATAAAATGAAGTAATATATATATATATATATATATATATTGTGTATTATTAAATAAGTTAATATTCGGTCTGCATCTCCATCTTCACTCCTCTTCTTCTTCTTCTTCTGTGAACCTTCTCTCTTCTCTCTCTCTCTAGGCACTCACATTCATTCTTTGCTTCACCCTTATAAATCACGAGATCCCCATCTCTCTCAGTTTCCCTTTCCCTTCCATGCCTTTGTTCATAGTATCTACTCCTCCTCTCTTTGTCTCCTTCTCCATTCTTCGCCGTCTCCATTGACGGCCATTGCTCTTACTCTCTAACCTTAATCGCTAACACCGTGAAAACTCCGTTAGGCTTTCTCTCCTCAATCATTCACTATATTTCGTTTTTGTTAACCGGAAAATAAAAAAAAAATGCCACCATCAGGTAAACCGGATTCATTAAACTCCGAGATCAATAAACCGGACTTCCGTGAGCTCAATCTCGGTTCACCGGTTTCTCCGCTTCGTTCCCAGCCACGTGGACTCACCACAACCACAAGTAGTAGCAGTTCTAGCTCTTCCGGATCTGTTACTAAACATCCTCCGGTTATCGGAAGATCCGGTTCGGTTCGTGGTACTACTCAATCCGGTTCGAGCAGCGGAAACCAAAGAACAAGACCGGACTCGGTAACTTCAAACTCAACCTCCTCCGCTACTTCTCCGGCGAATGTACTTCCCACCGGAAACATCTGTCCCTCCGGGAAGATCCAACTCACCGGAATGACGCAAAGCCGCTCGAGAAGCGACGTTCTCGGATCCGGCACGGGAACGTACGGACACGGCAGCATAATGCGCGGCGGAGGAAGCAGTGTCTCTCCGGCGAAACCTATCGGTGGTTCTAAGAAAGCGGTTGTTAGTTCTGATGCAGAGGAAGTGAAGAGAGTAGGAAACGAAATGTATAGGAAAGGTTTGTTCAATGAGGCTTTAAGGTTGTATGATAGAGCGATAGCTTTATCGCCGGCCAACGCGGCTTACCGGAGCAACCGAGCAGCTGCGTTGACGGGTTTGGGTCGGGTTGGTGAAGCTGTGAAGGAGTGTGAAGAGGCTTTGAGATTGGAGGCGAACTATGGAAGAGCTCATCAACGTTTGGCTTCATTGCTTATTAGGTAGACAAAACTCTTGATTTTTATTTATATGTTGTCTGAAACTTCAATGTGTGGTCTGAATTACTTGGTTTCAGATTAGGACAGGTTGATAGTGCTAGGAAGCATCTTTGTGTTCTTGGGAAACCATCAGATCCTATGGAGTTGCAGAAGCTTGAAGCTGTTGAGAAACATATGAGCAAATGTGCAGATGCTAGAAGGCTTAGTGATTGGAAAGCTGTTTTGATGGAAGTAGATGCAGCTATTGTCTCTGGAGCCGACTTTTCTCCACAGGTTAGAACTCAACTTATGTCAGATAGATAAGAGTCAGAACCGGAATCAAATGTTGTGTCTTAAACAGTGTCCTGAAAGTCGGTCTAGACGGCCCTTAGACGTCCCCTGTTTGGCATATCAGATCTAAACAAAACAATTTTAAAACAAATCGGTCGAAGCACGCGTCCAACTAATCAATAATCTCATATAATGTGCATAATTACCACCTACAAATTTCTTGAACAACTATTTTTTAGAAAAAGAAAATATTTAGAAAGATTTTTTTTTCTTCTAAAAATCGTTTAAGTACTCAAAAAGTTGATCTATGCGTCCTCATAATTACCAATTTCTTGAACATTGGTCTAAAATATATGCAGCTAGGTATGTGTAAAGTAGAAGCACTCTTGAAACTTCACCGGCTTGATGATGCACAGTCAAAGCTATTAGAAGTTCCCAAACTAGAGCCGTTTCCTACCTCTTGTTCTCAGACTCGGTTCTCTGGTATGGCCTGTGAAGCTTACACGCATTTTGTCAAAGCTCAAATCGAGATGGCTTTAGGAAGGTGAGATTAGAGAATCATTTGCTTATGCCAATGTTGAATGATATTATTTGAATGCCATCAGTAAAGAGCAGATGATGACTTCTTGCAGGTTTGAAAATGCAGTTATATCTGCTGAGAAAGCTAGCCAAATAGATCCACGAAGCAACGAAGTTGCTATGTTACACAATACTGTAACATTGGTTGCTAGGGCTCGTGTTCGTGGTAACGATCTTTATAAATCGGAAAGATACACTGAGGCAAGCTCAGCTTATGCAGAAGGGCTTAGGCTTGATCCGTGCAACGCTATTTTGTATTGTAACCGGGCAGCGTGCTGGTTTAAGCTTGGAATGTGGGAACGTTCAGTTGAAGATTGTAACAAAGCGCTGCGGTTCCAGCCAAGTTACACAAAGCCTCTTCTCCGTAGAGCTGCCTCAAATAGCAAGGTACATAATCAACTTGTAATTTGTTTTAAGCTTAAGGTCTTGAGGTTTCTTTGATCAAGTGTAGTTGGAGAGATGGACAGCTGCAGTGAGTGATTATGAAGCCTTGAGAAAGGAACTGCCTCATGATAAGGAAGTTGCTGAATCTTTGTTTCATGCTCAAGTCGCGTTGAAGAAATCTCGCGGAGAAGAAGTTTTGAATATGGAGTTTGGTGGTGAAGTTGAGGAAGTTTATAGCCGTGAACAGTTTAAAGCTGCCATGAATCTACCAGGTAAGGCATATGCTTGTTGTCTGCTTCTTACATTGGTAATCGTTTCTTGATTGGACTTTTTGTCAAACGCAGGAGTTTCGGTTATTCATTTTTTGACTGCCTCTGATTATCAATGCAAGCAGATATCTCCATTTGTAGACTCTCTATGTACTCGTTATCCTTCTATACACTTCCTCAAGGTAAAGTTATAAGACCTCAAAAACATTTCATAATAACATAGGAAGAGACTGACTCTAGTGTCTACATTTTATTGGTTAGGTGGACATAGATAAATGTCCATCGATAGGCAATGCAGAGAACGTGAGGGTTGTACCAACAGTGAAGATATACAAGAACGGGACTAGAGTAAAGGAGATTGTATGTCCAAGCAAAGAAGTGTTGGAGTACTCAGTGAGGCACTATAGCTGTTAACACACTCTAAAATCCACTTTTCTAGGACCCCTCCCTCATTACCCTTAATAATCCCACTTAGCTTCATTACCAGGGAACCAATTAGTGTAGAGTTTCAGCTCTTTATGATTTGTTCATTCATTCCCCCTTTTCACTGCCCTGTGATCTGTCTGTATTTGTCTTCCATTCATTTTTCTATTGAGATTGCATAGGCTCCGTCTTCTGTATCATTTGTTTAGGTATTGAGAGATGTTTACTGGTTGGAGATTACTCTGTGTACATAAGAGAAGCTTGTATGAGTGAAGAAGGGGCTTTACTGAAAAGGGCAAAAGAAGAAGATTCGGATTCTTCATTTTTTTCCTTATTACTTGGTGAAACGTGTCCTTTCTGTTCTCCTCTTTTGTCACAATATTTTCATCAATAAAATATATTTTTTCTATATTTTCCACAAATTTAATGCTTTTATTTTCGTAAGTCCTAACACAAACTCATGTATAATATATTACATGTAGGGGAAATGAGTTAACTAAAATATATAGTTACATATTAAAATGAAATTTGGAATTTGTCCAAAAAAAGAAAAAAAGAATTTGGAAATAATTTTAATATTCATTTAACTGTTGTTATATACTACTCTCAACCAAAGAAAAGGGAAATTGGTAACTGATTTAAAGTAGTTTTTTAATATACTTTAGTCGTTGAAATATACAAAAAGGAGAAACGGATTAATTAGAGAATGATTTAGTTTGTTAATGCTTTTGTTGTTATGTGTTAGTTGCCCTCCATTCAAGGGATTGAAAAGAAAAGAGAATCCAATAATTTTTTGCAAAAGAAACCTAATTATGAACATAACGCCCAAGAAAATACAATAAAAATGATAAAAGGTTGGTAGGTTAAAAACTTTACGGTTGTTGGACGGTGCTATACTGCGCCGACTGTAGTCGGTGCCTTGTATTCGTCGTCCACTGACACGTATTTATCCTTTTGTTTTTGTTTTCTTTTGTGGATAACATAAGTTTGGTCGTCTTCATATTATACAATATCACAAAAGCCTATTTTCTTATTGTTCTCCTCCTTCAAAACCAGTGGACTGGAGGCGCGTTAAATAACACCGATTTCTCGAGTGTGGACGTTGACCTTTAATAGTTACAATTAAAACGTACTAATTACTTTTTTTTTTTGATCAAACGTACTAGTTACTTAATTACGCATAAAGTAGTACTTTAAAAGTACGTTTTAGGAAGAAAAAACAGATACACGTACAGTGTACACTAAACTAAATTCCCCACAATAAATAGAACCGTTGGGACGTTACCGAATTGGAAAAAATACAAGGCGTGTCTATAAACAAGACTCAAACACCATGTCGTCTTCTTTTTCAATGGCCTCTTTTCTCAAACATGTCTGCCGTTTGTCGGGACCACATACACACATACTCAGCCGACATGTACAGTATGTAACTGAGTCGAGACTAACTTTGTCTTTGGTATATGAGGCAAAACTAAACCAAAAATTATTTCTTGTTATCCGGTTTACAACAAACCAAACCAAAATCAAATAGTAACGAGTAGTGGTCAACCTTTAAACCACGATCCGTAAAGAGGAAGGTCAAGTAAAAGACAAACAAACAAGAAACGATTCTCTTGCTCTGTTTTGTTACATTCGAGAAAGAAAGAAAAAAAGACAGAGCATGTGTTCATGATCTCGAAAGAGTTATTCGTACACAAAGACCAACACTTTGACGGTGGACTTACATAAACAAACCAAGAAATCCAACCGCATAATTTATTATTTCCGAATCAGCAGAAATAAGATTAAAAAAAAAAACAGAGGATAGAGAAACAGAGAGGTTCATCTCTGTTTTTTTACTCAACCAGTGTTCTGTAGACCAGCAGCGACACCCTTCATGGTCAAGATGAGTGTATCTTCAAGTCCAGGCGCGTACTCACTCGTCGGGTTAAGCTCGATGAGTTCTTTGCTCGATTCAGCAATCTCCTTAGAGATGTGAGGTCGTAGAGTCACATGGTAACTCGTGTCACGGATTCTCTTCAGTGTGTAAGCTTGACAGACATTGAGTGTCGTGATGTAAGAGTTACGAAGTCTCAGTCTCTGTTTCAAGTAAGGGTCTCCTTCAAGTACATCCTTGTGTCCAGCAGTCTGCAAAACAAGAAACGTGATTAGTTCTGACTTCTGAGTATGAAGAAAATCAAGAAAGCTCTGTTTTTTTTTGTATTAACCTGGAGGACGAGTTTCTTAGTTTCTTCGTAGTTAGCTCTGAGTTTCTCACCAAATGGCCATAGCTCCTCTGAAACAAGAAGCTTATCGTACAAAGCAGCGATACCTGGATCACCTTTAGCGAACACCATTTCGATTAGATCAATGGTGACTCTAAAGAAAGGCCAGTGCTGGTACATATCCTGAAGCATGTGTAGGTTCTTCACATCTTTTTCAACCACGTGTCTGATGGCTGCTCCGAATCCAAGCCACACAGGGAGATGGAATCTCGTTTGGGTCCAAGCAAAGATCCATGGAATGGCACGGAGAGACTCGATGCCACCGCTTGGCTTCCTCTTCGAAGGTCTGCTTCCAATGTTCATACGACCATACTCTAGCTCCGGTGTAGCCTGCATAGGTTGCATTAGTACAAGATTATGTCTGAAAGTGAGTGTTCTAAGATTATGAGTTTGAGTAACATTATGTCTAATCATTGGTTTAGGCAGCGCTTAGTCGACAAATCGGACCTAAACAAAACAATCTTTATAGAGCAGGCTTTTAAAAAATTGGTGTAGACGCTCAAAAATCTCATATAAAACAGTTAACTACTGCCTAGTGATTTCTTGAATGTTGCTTAAGACTGAAAGAATAGGCAAAATACTTACAAGGCGGAAGTACTCGACAAAGCGAGGTTCTTGGAACACAACAGACCGGTACTCTTCGGTCGCAACAACCGCCATTTCATCAAGCAACGCACGCCATTCTGGTTTAGGAGAAACCGGAGGACGCATACCATGCTCTAGTGTTGCAGCGGTGAAACGCTGGAGCGTTCTGAAGCATAGATGTTCCTCTCCGAAAGATTGCTCAATGACTTCACCTTGCACCGTGACACGGAGGGAGCCGTTAATAGTATCCGGTGGCTGAGACAATATAGCAAGATGTGTCGGTCCACCTCCTCTTCCGACAGTGCCACCACGACCATGAAACATAGTCAGCTTCACACCGTACTCTTTAGCAACCTTCACAAGCTCTTCTTGAGCTTTGTATAACTGCCAAGCAGCAGACAAACGTCCAGCGTCTTTGCCCGAGTCTGAATAACCAATCATAACCTCTTGCTTACCGTTGATCCGGTTCTTGTACCAGTCAACAGAGAAGAGTCTAGCAACAGCTGCAGGAGCCGCTTCAAGATCAGCTAGCTTCTCAAAGAGAGGGACAACTCTCAAAGGCCGTTTCACGTGGCATTCGCGCTGTAAAAGCTCAACAGCTAGTACATCAGAAGGCGCTGTCGCCATGGAGATGATGTAAGCACCAAAGCTGTCTGAAGGTAGCTCGGCGATGACATGAAACGTGTCGAGAACGTCAGCGATCTCTTCGGTTTTTGGAAGATCAGAACCGAAGAGAGGACGTTTGCCACTTAGCTCAGACAAAAGCCATTCTTGGCGGCGCTCTTCGGACCACTCTTTGTATGATCCGATGTCTAAATGGGTGGTGATAGCATCCAACACATCAGTGTGGCGGTCAGATTCTTGCCTTATGTCAAGCCTCACGAGAGAGAGACCAAAGGTTGAGACTTGCCTCAAGAAATCAAGAAGGCTTCCATCAGCTATTGGACGGTCACCACATGAACATAGTGATCGGTAACAAAGCTCCAGCGGTTCCAGGAACTACACAACAACAAAAAATCGGTTTAGTACCAAATCAAAACGGGGAATTAAAGGATTCTAAATTACTAAAAATGATTACCTCTTCCACGTTGTTGAAAGTAGCTTCTTCAGGGACATCAGAGGTTCCATTGCTGAGCAATTGGCGAGCTCGTTCACGTGTGTGGTAAAGCTTGTCTCTTACATCACCAAGAATCACACGGTATGGTTCGGTTGGTGGAATTGACTTCCAGAACTCTGCAAGACAATGAATCATCAGTTCCAACACAACAAAACTTAGACATAAACAGATTCTGCAACACAGGTTCCTTCTCATACCTATGTAATGTTTTGCAGCGTCTTTTCTCCTGTTTACGTGAAGTTCATCAGCTCGCACACGCAGCTCATCATTGCAACGCCACATAGACAGCTACAGAAAGAAGCAGGACAAAATGAATCAAGGCACTACATACATATCAGACTTAATAGGAAAAGAAAAAAAAAACGAAATCAAACCTCAAACATAAGATCTTCAATTTGGTTGAAGTACATTGTAGCAGCCATCATTCTAGCTAACAAACACACGTCTCTAGTGACTTCAGGTGTAACCCTTGGATTACCTACAAGTTCATAAAGATATTGTAACCTGAGTAAAGACAATTTGAGAGGGAACTAACACGAGGGGGAGTTACAGAAACGTACCATCACGGTCACCACCCATCCAAGAAGAAAACTGAATCAGTGGAGCATTGTAGGGGACACGTTCTTCGATGCCAATGTTCTTGAGAGCAGTGTCTACACGGCGAAGAAACTTAGGAACACCTTTCCAGATAGTTTCATGGAAGTAACTCATCCCAGCTCTCATCTCATCTTGTGGTGTCGGTGGTGTTCTTTTGATCTCATCTGTTCTGAATGCAGCTTGAATCTAACAATAAAGAACACACATTTTGACGATTGGTTTTAAACAGCAAGTCAATATAAGGAAGGAGGCTTTTACCTCTCTCTGTAGAGCCTCATCAAGCTCTTGTTTGTCATCAGGAGTGATATCCTTAGCATAGAGCTGAGCCAGGCAGTCTCTTATCCTAAAACAACACAAAGAAGATAAGTTTAACACCAAAACATAGATAGGTTCAGTAAATAAAACTACTAACCTCCCATGTTTCTGAAGCAATGATCTTCTCACAGACTGAGTAGGATGAGCAGTCAAAACCAAATCAACAGTCTGGTTCTTGAGAGCATCAAAGATCTCTTCAGGAGACTTGTTCAAATCACCAACAAGCTTCTTAAAAGTCTCTTCGAGATCAGACTCAGTAGTAGCAGAGCTCTCATCAACAAAATCACCTTTCTTCAGCTTCTTGATCCTACGGCGGTAAGCAATCTGCACTTCCTCAGCCAGATTAGCCAAGTTAAGCATGTGAGAGAAGGCTTTAGCGATAACAATGGAGTCCCCTGGATCTAAACTCGTTAGCACACTCCCTAGCTCCTCTAGCTTCTTTGGCTCATGCTTCCCTTCGTACTCTGCAGAGTGCTCATAAAGCTCTTGAACCTATACAACGATAAAGATCAAATCATTAGATAACCCAAATCTGACCCATGATTGAAAAACTTATAAAGTCAAAACCTTTACTCATATATGTAACTTTCATGATCTTTAGCCAAATGGGTTAGTAGTAATTCAAACCCTAAAGTTTAAATCTTCTTCTTTGAAAACCCTAATCTAACCCATGATCGAGAAACTTAAAAAGTCAAAAACTTTATTCAAAGAATCATCATAGATGCAACTTTCATGATCTTTAACCAAATGGGTTATAGTAATTCAAACCCAAAATTTCAAATCTTAAAACCCTAAATCTAACCAATGATCATGAAACTTAATAAAGTCAAAACCTTTATTAATAAAACCATCATAGATGTAACTTTCATGATCTGTAACGTACATAGATGTAACTTTCATGATATATAAAACAAAATGGGTTTTATAAAACGTACAGTTTCTCGAAGATCCTCTCCGTGCAACTCCTGGAGGATATCTAGGAACCGATCTAGAAGCAGAGCATCATACTCAACAAGTTTGTCGTCTTCACTAACTTTGCCAGGAACCAGTTGACGGAGATGGACATCCATCGATGCCATCTTCTCTAACTTCCCATGAGGCATGTTCGTTACTTCTCTGTCTGATCTGATTGAAACAACAAACAAAAAGCAAAATCAAATCCAGACAAAAAGGTGGGGACTTTGAGTCAATTGAGAGTGACCCAGATGAGAAAGATCTGCGAATAGTGCGGACAAGAGTAGATCTAGGAAAGGAATCAGATACTAACCAGTTTTGGACCAAGGGACAGTTGTTGGGATCAGATGTAGTGAGATGAGTAAACAAGATACTACAAGGCTTACGTTTATATAGAGAAAGAGATTCTCTGTGATGATGCCTTTAATATTTTTTATTTTTAACTATTATTTCACTGAATAATTTCTGCAGAATATTCTAATCAACAAGTTACCAGTGAAAGTCAATAAGTAATTTACTGACTGGCTTATGAAAACAATTGACTCTGGAAATTTACAGTTTTCTCTCTTTGTTTCTTTCTATATCGGATTTGCAAATTTTACTGTTTTGACTTTTGGCTAAAGAAAAATGAGAGTGATTACAATATAGTAACTGATATGAAATGAAAAAATAAAAAAGGGAGAGGAAAAAGATAAAAAAAATTATGATATTATGGTTAACTCACAAATTCTTCTGCAAAGGATAGGAGGTTAATATATTATTGTTGTACAAAAATGTTCTTCATAGTGAAACAAGAGTAAACATTTTTTTTTTCACCTAATTAACCAAAACAACTAAAAAACTTGTAGTAACTCGTAACTATGATTTCTTACTCTAAAAGTGCCATGTTATTAGGTGTGAATACGAATCAAATATTTAGGTTTGTGAAGTATCCATAATTCAATCAGTTTATTTGAATAATCAATTATTCGATTTGATTCAAGATTTGTAGTTAAATATTTATTATCGGGATATTTCAAAAAAGTTATATTTTAGTCAAATATTCAATTAGATTTGTACTAATAAAATATTTTTTTACTTAAATTGAAAAATATAAGTAATAACATTTTATTACAAAATTTGTTTTTCTATTTTTCCAAATTTTAGTAACTAAAATAATCAATTTAAAGATAAAAGTATTATAGAAATTCTCTAAAATATAATAATTATAATATATATATCTATATATAATTATTTAGATATATATATATATATATATATATATATAATGAAACGGACATAACACTCATTTCTAAAATATTAATACTTGTGATTTCCTTTATTTTTTTATAGATATTGTATACTATTATTTATTTTGTTTCGTATACGAATATCTAATATCTGAAATTCTCTGTTGCAATCGAAATAGATTAATATTTTGCTCTTCCCTAAAAACAATCCATATATAGGTAAATTATTTTTGAGAATAGCATGTGTGCGCGGAGATCGATGATGAATCTCTAAAGTCTAAACCTAACTTCAACTTTAAGCGATTAGGTTGACAATTTTTTTTATTTTATCTTAATTACTAGGATTTAAGCATTTAACCGACCATCTACAACTTTTCGTTTTATCTAACAGTCTTTTCTCAGAGCAATAACAGCTTTTCGTGTTATTTAAACAGTCTTATTTTCCACTATTCTTAAATTAGCACCAATGTGATCAGTGATCACAATGTAGATGACTAATGTCCCACATGAAAATATCTTCGGCGATGGTAACTCAAAAATTGATTCTACAGATGTTTTCTTTTTATCATTATATTATTTTATATTTTATGTATATCTATATTATTAAATTAGAAATATTATCTTGGATCTAACATTTATTTTGTAAAATTTTAAATTAAATATATTTTTCACTTTATAGTTAAATTTACATTAAATCATTAATATTATTTTTTATACTACTATCCATGTTTCAAAAAAAAAATACTCATTTTTTTATATTACTGTCAATATTTCCAAACAACACTATAATTAATATTGTGACCAAAAATACAAAATAATAACTTTCATCTTTTTAATAATTTCTAACAATTTTCTTCAAGCTATCTACATAAATTAAATAATTAAAAAATTTAAGTAATTTATAAAATAACAAATAAATAAAAATTAATTTTCAGATTTAAATATTACATATCGGTTATCCATCAGTTCAATCGATTGGTCTCAGTGTTTACCAATTTTTAAATATGGATATTTTTAAAAATCTAAATCGAATTATCGGGTCACTGAATTAACCAGTTAAACTACGAGTGCATATCAAATTTTAAAAACACTGATTTAAATGTAAAACTATTTTAAATACACAAATTTTCAAATTAATAAAATATTTATTAATTATTAGTGAAATTTTTCATTATAATATATTTTGGCGTTTCCAAAGCACAGATCAATTCCATTTTATTTTAAATAACGTTATATTTCATTTAAATTTGTATATTATTTTAAAAACTTTGGATATATTAGTCAGATCAAAAGTAACTAAACTCTCAACTAAATTATTTTTACATAAATAGTTAAGTTTGAATTTGATTTTGCACTTTAAACAAACTTACATCTACACAGTTACATCTACATAATACATTGATTGACACTATTAATACAAAAGACAGTTTTGATATTATTCTTTAAACTAATTGGACAAACACGAAACTATATAAAATTAAATTATATAGAATACATCTGAAAATAAAATCTACGCGGATACGTAGATCATGATTTAGTATCTTATTATATTAATTGATTCCACTGATGTTTGTCCAAATATATCAATATCAATGATTAAAGAACCATCACTTTGAAAACCATATTGAAATGCTAAGTATTGTATAATAATGAACAAATGAAATTATTACCAGTTAGTTTTCTATTATATTTATATAATTTAATTCAGAACTTCCACATATATAGTATCTAAATATATATAATATTAGTTAAAACTAGCTTTTAATTTAAATAAATCAATTTAAACAAAAATAAATAACAAAATATTTCAGATTAAAGAAAATTAAGCAATCTGTTTTCAATATATGAAAATTTAAACTTAAAACAAATTAAAACATAAATAGTTGATCGGAAATATTTTTTTCTGAAATCTATATTCCTTTTGACTTAAGCATATATCTAACTAAGCTTTAAATATAAAATCATATCAAATTATAATAACTTATATCTTATGTAATATCAGTATTCTTTATTAATATTCATCTTATCTATTAAAACAGAAACCATAACCTTGATTCATGTGTGATTTTTTAGAAAATAGAATATTTCTTAAAAAGATTATCAAGATTATACAAATGTTACATAATAATTTAATGATAATATCCTTAAATATCTTTATCTTTTATTTGAAATACAAATGAAATAAATCTAACAAAATCTTCCTGACATCTTTTTAAATTGTATTTCCGTAAATCATTGAATTTAAATTTTAATTATCATAAAATATCATTAAAATTAGTATTTTATTTATAAATGAAATTTTAAAATTATCTAGAATATTTCTAATTATATTTTAATGAAATAATAATATAAATTGATGTAGTTTCGAAAATACTTATTTACAAAATTTATATAGATTATGTTAGAAACAAATACTCAAATTCTATTTCAAATATACAAAATGATATACTATATATTTATCTACCTATACTATTAAAACGAAATCACAAGTTATTTCATGTATAATTTTTTATTTAGACCATTCTTTTAGAACAGTTATCAAATTTTACATAATTTAATTATAAGAAATTAAACTTTATCTAGATAACACTATATTTTCCTAAAACGTATATAAAAAAAAAAAAATATATATATATATATATATATACTAGAGTTTGACCCACACGAATTATTCATTTTATAAATATAAAACTTTGATAGTATTATAAAAGTTAAATATATGATTTAAATTTAATATTATATATTATATAACTCTATAATTTTGTTGATTATGTTTCTTATTCATCATTATTAATATACAGTAATTTGTTTTATATATTTTAATTTATATTCTTATTGATTGCTATTACCTACTAATATATTTTTGAGTTTGATACATAAATTATAATCTGAAATAATCAAATATATAATCTTCTTTAATATAGAGTTTTAGTTTCTGCAATTTGCATACAATACATTTTAACATTTGTTTAGATATACTATAGATAAATATTTGTTAATGATAACTTATATTTTGATGTTGTGTTTAAATTGATACTTTAACAGTCTATCACTTTAGTATTTTGTGAGATTTTATAAGTAAATATATTGTTATTTATTGATAATTGTTTTATAAATTATAAATATAAAAATCCGCACAGTTTTTCAGATCAAAATCTAGTTTAGACTTAAAACGTGTCAAAATTCAGACTGAAATACTTTATTAGGGAATCATCGATTAGTGAATTTTTTCCACAAATTTTGTGGTCGGATGGTAATAAATACGAGTTTAAAACGTTAATATATTTTATGTTAGATCCACCTACTTACCGTATGAAAATAAGTTATATTTTCATGCATATTTATTTAAGCTTTTATTTTTGACTTATTTACATACCTGAAAAGAAAAACTGTACGCAAACTGCAATTTCTTTTATGATTAGTCTAAACTTCTTCTATAGGCTCAAGATATCCTCAATATCGTAACAAAAGTTAATGAGCTACTTTGAATGTATTTTATAAATTATAATTATAACTTATTTCTTCATTTCATCACCACGCTATGGCGTAGGAGATCCTTGATATTAAATTATTAATGTGAACATATAAGTTCACCAACCAATAAGATAACGTTATTTTATATTTATTATTTTTTAAAAATAGAAATAAAATATTTTCCAGTTATTTATATTTTTAAAGTTTAAATATAAACATAAATAAAAAAATAATAGTAATTGCAAAAAAAATTTTAATTTTTTAATAATATTATCAAAACACTAAACTCTGAACCCTAAATTCTAAACCTTATAACTTTTCTGTAAACCTTAAACTCTTGGATAAATCCTTGTTTTAAAAAAAAATATTTTTAATATTGTCATCAAATCACTAAACTATAAACTATAAATCCTAAATCTTAAACATTTGGATAAATTTTAAACCTT